GGTGGGCGGGGGATGGTGTGGCACCTAGTTAAGTAGAGACCAGGGATGCTGCTAAACCTCCTACCGTGCACAGGACAATCCCCTATGACAAGGAATCATCCAGCCCCAAATGTCAATAGTGCTGAGGTTGAGAAACCCTGCTCTGGGTCAAGCAGCAAGTTCCCACATCCATGTGATCACCTGTGAGGGAGTCGAGAATGGAACACTAGCATCCCTATTATACAGAGAAGGAAACTGAGTCTCAAAGGAGGAAGAAGCTTGTCCAAGCATGTGTAGCAAGTTCCTTCTATCAACAAATATTTATTGAGCACCCACTTTATGCCAGGCACTATTCACATAGCAGAAGCGAGACTAGGATTCATTCATTTCTTTACTCATTTATCAACAGACATTTACTATGACGGCTGCTGGATACATAGCGATGAATCAGATCCAGCTCCTGACCCCTCAGAGCTCACAGTCTTTTGAGAGAGACAGCCACACAGACCAGGAAAAACAGTGAGACCAGGAAAGCCCAGGGCTACCTGGAGGAATCCAGGAAGGCTTTCCAGAGGAGATGTTTATAAACTAAGATGTGAGAGAGTAGGAGTTAGCCATCAAAGATTGAGGTTTGTATAGAGGGTTCCAGGAAAAGGGAACAGTGTGTGTAAAAGTGTGGAGGAGGGAGAATATGGTTCATTTAAGACCTGAAGATGGTTCGGTGAGGCTGAGCACGATACGGAGGGGAGAATGAGAGAATGGCAGGGCCCAGATCTTGTAGAGCCTTGACTGTCAGGCTGAGGCACCTCCAGGCTCCACTCTTCCCTGAGGGACAAAGCCCTCAGCTTTCAGCATCCAGGTCAAACATCATCTGTTCAGTGATGTTCAATACACCCTGGCTCTTCCTCTACCCCATCCAGAATTTCCTGTTGCTCCCCTGGGCTCCCTCGGCACTGCATAAGTCCCTCATCGTAGCCCTTGTCCCACTGGACTGTCAGCATCTATTTGTCCATCTCCTCTGACCTATAAAAGTGCTTCGAGAGACTTTTAATGTTTGCAGATTGAAAGAATGAATCTGGACAGGTGGGAAGAGCTCTGACTGCTGTGTGACCTCGGGAAATCAGTGAACTTCTCTGAGCCTCCGTCTCCCCAGCAGACTTCCTGGGTTGGTATGAGGTCAGAGATGGCTGGTTAGCTTAGTGGGTATGGGCACAGGCTCTGATCTGACAGATCTGGGTTTAAATCCTGGCTGTACCATTTATAGGATATGAACATAGACAAGTCCCTAACAGCTCTGTGCCTCAATTTCCTCATTTGAAAAAATGAGGGTAATAATAGTGCCTGCTTCTTAGGGAATATTCCCCTCTCTATCCTTTTCTCGACTTTAAAGGACATCATGCCTGACTCAGGGACACACGTTTCCATGATGTCAATACGCTGGAACCCTTGTGGGTTGTGTGATTTTGGGAAGGCACTGATCTCCTAGTCCCAGGGTCTACTTACTCTACTAGAAACTGTTCAGACCTTCTCTCTAAGCAAACCTCCCATTACCTCCTCTCGCCCATCCTCCTCTTTACTGATGACCTTGCTTCCTACCTTTCTTGGAAAGGTGAAGCCATCAACAGAGAATTCTCTCACCACTACCCCTCTGCTCAGTGCCCATTATTCTCCCTTCTTGGGGCTTCCGGCAGAGGCGGCAGCAGATCCCGCTCCTTGGCTGTCACTCCACCAACTCTCTCGCCTTCAGCCTCAATTCTCCTAGATATTTCCCATCACCCCACAAATATGCTGTTATTTCTTGTCTTAAACAAACATTCTCTCCCACGTTCTCTCTCCTTCCCTTAAATAAAAGTTCTTGAAAGCACTATCTCCACTTCCTTCCTCCCATTCTCCCTTCAATGGCCTCCAATAAGGTTTTTGCCCCTATTGCTCCACCAAAATAGCTCTTGGTGGAGTGACCAAAGACCTCCATGTTGCTAGAACTGGAGAACAGTCAGTTCCGGGTTCTCTCACACTTGGTGTAACAGCCTTTGCCACCACTAGCCACTCTCTCCTCCTGAAACCATTTTCTCCACTTGGCCTCCATGACATCCTAGGTTTCCCTCCTACTTCTCTGGCTACTCCTTCTTGGTCTCCTTGGCTGGGTCCCCCTCTTGTCCCTGACTTCTAGGAGTGCCCCAGGACCCCAAATGTCAGAGTGGGCCTCTCTCTCTTCCATCTGCCCTCACTTCCTAGGTGATCTCATCCAGGCTAATTCAGTACTGTCCATGTACTGGTAACACGAGCCCTGACCTTTCTTCGGTACTGCAGACTTATCATTCCAACTGCCTTCTCCACATCAGCAGCGAGACATCCAATCACCACTGCAAACCTCACAGGCTCACAACTCCGTCCTGCCAACCGCCTTGCCAAAATCATGTAGTCTTCCTTGCCTTCTTCCTCTCACACTTGAGATCCAATCTATTAGCAAATCCTATTGGCTCTCTTCAAAATATATCCTAAATCCTATCGCTCTCTACCACCTCCACTGCCACAACCCTGTTCCAAGCCGCCTCATCTCACCTGGATTACCGTAGCAGCCTCCTAACCAGTTTCCCAGCCTCCACCATTCACCCTCTTGTCTTTAGTCAATCCAGCAGCCGAAGGGATCCTTTAAAAACTCAAGCCCGCTCATGTCCTTCACCACCCCAAACCCTCCAATGGCTCCCATCTAAATCAGCATAACATTTCAAGTTCTCACCCTGGCTCACAGGCCCTCGCGGTCTGGCCGCTGCTCCCTCCCTGACCCCCCCACACCTCGACTTCCCCTCTCACTCACTCCACTCCACTCGCACTGGCTTCCTTACTGTTCCTTGAACATGGCGAGCTTGCTCCTCCTTAGGGCCTTTGCATTTGCTATTCCTACTGCCAGGAACACTCTTCTTTCAGATGCCTACATGGCTCACTCTCCTTCTTCCTTCAAGTCTTTTCTCTCATGCCTCCTTCTCCGTGAGGTCCTCTAGCTGGATCCCCTATCTAAAATCTTTAACCTACCTCAGCATCCCTGAGTCTCCTTCCTTATCCTTATCATTATCTAATAAACTGTATGTTTTACTTATTTACTTTTGTTTTTTCTCTCTCTCATACCCTAGGATGTAAGATCCACAAGGGCAGGGATTTTTGCCTGTTTTGCTCACTGTTATGTCTCTAACACCTAGGACAGTGCCTGCTGTGAGATAGGTGCTTTACATATATTATAATTATAAAATGAATGAATGAACTTCCTAGGGCCTCGGTCACCTGGAGAATGGATATACTGATACAACTACCTCCTGGGGTTGTGTGAGGAGTCACTGAGCTGACCGGTTGTTCAGGTGCCCAGCATAGGCCCTGGAACACAGCAGGTGTTCAGCAAGGCACTCTTCTCATACCTCTGCCCTCCTCCGATGCTGTGAGAGTAGGGGGCTGGGCCGGGATTTATCCCATCTAGCTTCAGCCCATAATAATCCTTGCCTCTTCCTGGGCCCTCTTGGCAAGTAGCAGGCAGGATCTTACCTGGGTGGATGTCCTGGAACAGGGACTTCCAGATGGTGTACTGCAGGGGGCCTGTGTACTTGGAGGTTGGGAAGTCTTCATATGTCAGATTAGTCTCATGGATTTTCCCTTTGAGCCTGGAAGAAGAGCAGGAGAGCAGGCTGCTTTCGGAGCTGGATTCCTGTCCCAACGCTGAGGCCCTACAGCCACCTTCAGGGTAGCTGACATAGGGCAAGGTCAGGTACGTGAAGTTTGCAGGACCCAGATTCAAGTGACTGCTTATATCACTTCCTATCTCACTAGCTATTAGCCTCAGTTTCCTCATTTTTAAAATGGGTACCATGATAGTACTTGCCTTCTAGATTGTGAGGATTGCATGGTATAACACATACAAAATGCACAGTGTTTGGCTCATGATCAACATCAACTATATGATGTTAGCTATCAGTTTTGATCATTAACAAACCAATAATTAAGTGTTATTATTATTAAAGGTGGCTATGGGACCAGAAAGACCTGGGCTTTGAATCCTTGGATCCTTGAATCCTGGCTCCCCCACATACTGATGAGGGGCCTTGGCCAACTGATCTACCTTCTCTGTGCTTCTTTCTACATGTGTGAAATGGGGATGATGGTGGGAACTACCTTCGAGGGGATTGTAGGGTTATAATAATATAAATATTACTACTTATATATAATATCCATGTTATATAACATATAAGCTTATAAAATAATATACATAACATAACATAATAATGTAATACATACTATATTACGTGTATATAATTACATAAAGCCTTCAGCCCAGGCTCTGGAACACAGCAGATGTCCTGTACGTTTGATGAAGTTTTGAATGAATGAACTCTGCTAACCACCTCGTCTGCCTCCATTTCCACCACCCTGCATGTGCTGGGGTGAGGGGTGCCCATCCGGGGAAGGCCCCCAGCAGGCAGGCACTTACCGCTCGGACAGTGAGGCCACCCCGGCCAGGAAGGTGTGTCGGTCAGTTTCGGCCAGCCGCTCCTGAAGGATCTGGGCCCCCTCCTGCACCTTGCGTAGCTGCTGGCTGTAGCGCTGGACTTTCTGCTCGATGTCGGTCAGTGTGCGCGCAGTGTCCGCCTCCAGCTCCTCCAGCATGGCCTTCTGCCGCTCACGCAGCAGCCTGTGCAGCCGCTCGAAGGCCTCGCCGATGGTGGTCCGTAGGCTTTTGGTGGAAGACTGTGGGGACAGTCATCAGGGGTTATGTCAGAGGGAGCAGATGGGGTGATCCCTGGGTGAGAGGAGGAAACCGAGAGCCTTGGCATGTAGAGAGGAAAGGGTGGAAAAGGGCACGCTGGGTTGGGGGAATGGCACACGCAAAAGCATGGTGGTATGGAAGGACCCGCAGGCCAGGAACCGCAAATGATTCTATGTGCCCCGTTAGGAATGAGATGGTCCAGGTGAGACAAGCAGTCTTGAACTAGAGGATCAGCAAAGGGACATGGCTTGAAAGTTGTTAGGGTGTCAAAGACATCTTTGGTCCCAGTGACTGACTGGCTGGCTGCAGGTGAGAAGGGTGTGAAGATGATGCCCAGATTTTTGGCTTGGAAGTGAGAGGGATGGGGAGGTGAGGGATGGGGTGAGAGGGAAGTTCAGGGGAGTGGGGAGGCAGGGAGAAGATGTTGAGTTTAATCTGGGATAGAGCGAAGTCCTTATTTTTAAAAAATCACTCATGAGCCCAAGCAAAGATGACAAGGAGATAACAGACATCAGAGAATTTTATAAACTGCAATGTGTTGGGTAAACCTTGGTGGTCATTCACCTGTCTCACCACCCCTGAGACCCTCTGGTCAAAGAACAAGGGCTGGAGGTTAAGGCCATTACCAAAGGAGACAAGCATGGACGTTCATGGCTCTCTCTGCCCCCACGGGCATGCCAGACCCAGGAGGGGGTTGAATGGTGAGGGGCACATGCTTTGGTGTCCAACAGCCTGGGTAAGGATCCTAGCTCTGGCTCTTTAACTGTGGCAACCTTAATTGCCTATTATCTATGAAACTTAGTTTTCTAATCTGTGAAAAGGTCAATACAACTGCATTGCAGGGTTATGGTGAAGATTAAATGACGGGATGTTCACGAAATGCATGGCATTGTTTGAGATGTAGAGAAAAAGCCTCGTTGTTAAAAAGGCATCGATTAGTTCTAACAGTCACATTCTAGAAGTCTTCACTGAGAGATGGCTTCTGAGCTGCAACCTGAAGGATGAGCAGGATGTCAGTTGGGGGTGAGGGGAAAAGGAAGAGGGAACAGCACGAGGCAGGATGACACAGGGCACGAAAGTGCAGCCAGGCTGCAGCAGCGTGTGGGGCCTGCCTCTGCAATTTTACTTTGTGGAATTCTGGCTGGGAGTTCACAGAGTCAGGGACCCCGCTGTGCACAGTGCCCAGGGCTCTGTGGGAGGCTCAACAAAGGCTCAATTAGGGCCAGTTCCCTCCCTGTCTCGGCTGCCGGCCTGCAGGAAGAAGTGCTGGCAGTGGGCCAGCCTCCCTGCGCATGCCCACCCAGAGCGCCAGGCAGACAAAGGGGTGGAAGAGAGGCTGGGGATGAACAGCCAGGCTGCCTGTGGCCTCCCTGAGCCCCTCACCCAGGGAGGGCTGAGGCTTCTGCAGAGGCAGGTCGAACATGGAGAAGTTGGGGCCTGTCCTCCCTGCACCATCTGTCGCTGCCCTCCAAAGACCCCTAAATCCCACAGTCATCCCTTCTAGTCCCTCCTCGACCACTCTGCAGCAGTGTTGGTCAACTGGCCACCATTTACTAATTGTTTCCCATCTCAACTGCTTCCTCTCTGCCACCCATGTTCCTCAGGGCTTGCCCAGCCAACTCCTCCCATTCTCAGCCTGCACGCCCTCCCTCGTCTTCAGCTCCCCCTGCTTTAAGGATGGCTCACAAGTCCTAATCAATGGCAGTGCATGGCTCCTGAGAGCCATATTTATTTTTCTATCTGCCTCCTCCACACATACCTCTGGGATCCCACAGGCCCTCCAACTCACTTGGTCCACAAGTCAACTCTGTGTCTTGGCCGACAAACCCACTACCAGAGCGATCCTTCTAAAGCGCTAACTGAGTCACAGCCGAATCTGCATTGAAGAACCTTTCTCAGCTCCTTGATGACTAGTAAAATGCTAAATTCCTTAGTCTGGCATTCAAAGTCCTCAGCTGATCCCAGCTTCTCTCAGCTCCTTGATGACTAGTAAAATGCTAAATTCAAATGACTAGTAAAATGCTGGCATTCAAAGTCCTCAGTTGATCCCAACTTACCTCACTAGTGCCATTGCATTGTAATTCCACCTTCTTAGAATGGACACCTTCCCCTCGACAAACTGTTTATTCAACTGGCAAACTCCTACTCATCCTGAAAGACCCAGATCAAAAGCTATGTCCTTTGTGACACCTTCCCTAACTTTTTCAGGCAGTTAAAATAGTTAAATGTTCCCAGAGCATTTTGTAAATACTTCTTAATACACAGTCCCATATTTTTGTGGCTCTCCAGATAGTGGATCAACCTCTAATGGGGAATGACATCTCCCTCAGCCCTGCTCTCCCCCAACCCCTATGCCCATCCCAGGGCCCAGCTGGTAGTCAGGACCTGCCTGAGAGGTGGTGGGAAGGGTCTTGCCCAAGACTGCTCTGCAAAGGTAGGTGCAGACTCTATCTTTTTTTCTACAGTGGGAGCCCGATGTCCACAGGACAAGAGAGGAAGGGTAGGAAAAGTGGGAGAGGCAGGGAGAAGGCAGCTCAGAAGCAGAACATCTGAGTGACAACCACCCCAGGAGACTCAGGCATGTTTCCTGACCTGCCAGGTTTGCTGACCACAAAGCCAGAGATCTTGCTGAGGACATCCCAGCAAGCTGCTGGCACATGAACTAGGCTCTGACAGAACTGGACAGTAAGCTCCCAATTGGCCACTTACTAGCTCTGGGGCCTCAGGCCAGTCTTTCAAACTCTCTGCGCCTCGGTTTCTTTGCTGATAAAATGGAGATAACAGTTCCTACCTCAAAAGGTATTTTTTCCCTCTATTTACTATATGAGAGGCACTATGCTAGGTTCTGGGGCGTCCTGCTGTCACAGAGGTGACATTCTATGGGGTTCAGTGAGACAATGAATGGGAAACACAAATTCTAGCAGAGAAAGGTGTGTCCCGGTGACTCCAGCTTTTTCTACAGCAGAGTCGCCCCCGCCTCACCACCAGTCCCACTGGTACCATCGCTGGGAAAGCAGCCCGCACTCCAGCCCCCCACATTCCTGGGAACACACGGGCTTGGAGGAGCGGGGGCCATTTCAGAAAAACACCCTGCCAAGAATGCATCACTCAGTCAGGGCCAACCAAGGAAAACATTGGGCCAGGGGAGGGAGATTAGACAAGCCCTCAGGCTGGGCCATCGGAGGGGCAGGCGCCGCAGGAAAGCCAAGTCAGGCACCAGGTGAAATATGACCTCCAAAGCATCCATAGGCATTTCTTGTATAAACAGCCCAGTCCAGACAGGAAGCAGGGCTGGGGGAACTAGAGGGGAAGGTGGCCCCACAGGACCCCCCTGAGGTAGACAGATGGACAGGAAAGCAGGGGAGGAAGAGGTCAGTGGAGAAAAACAATGGTGGGGGGGAGTAGAGAAAAGAAGAGAACGCTGGGAAGAAGAAATAGACTATAATATTCCCCTCTCATCCAGAGAGAGGCTTCCATTTTCTTCTCTTCACTTGAGAGGTACAGAATCACCAGGCAGATGGGGACACTGAGGCTGCGAGAAGCAAATACACCAGAGTCCTATGACTATTTCTCATCAGTTGCCTGTGGAGGGTCCTGCCCAGAGGCCCTCTGGAATGTTCTCTGAAGAAATGTTTGTCATGACCTACCTGAGACCCCACAGCGGGTTGATGGCTTAGCTGGGACACAAATCTGGATCTCCAATGGCCTCTCTGGACCCCAGGGTGACCTCTGGAGACCCAGGGCATTCTTAAGGCTCTGCTTCAGCTGCTGCTGGCAGCGGAACCCCTGCTAAGGGAGCGGAGCCAGACTGAAATCACCTGAGAGCTTAGCTGGTAGGCCTGGGTCCCCAGTTCTTGGTCCCAGAAAGAGGGGGCAGAAATCAATGGACCTTTGCCCAGTTAATGAGATATCTGTAGAGGGAACTTAGAGAGAGCTCCCCCAAAATGTGCTAGGATCCAGAACTTCAGGGCTGGAAGGAGCCTGGCAGATCCCCACTGTACATACAGGACATTGGGATACCCTAAAATATGCAGTTTACTCAAAGTCATACACTGAGTTAGTGGCTGTATCAGAACCCACGGTCTTCCTCTCAGGTCAAGGAAAAAGGCTTTTCTTTTTAAACCATTGTAGCCAGAGACTGCAGGATTTGGCCCTATTTCCCATGCCTGAGCTTAAGAGGGGCCATGATACCAGGGCTGGAATCATCAGGAGAGCTTCAGCGGAACGTGTTCAGGTTTGGCTCCTTGCGGAATGGGTGTGTTTACTAACTGGAGAGGGGGAAAGACCCCTGTAAGGGCAGGAAAGGAGAAAGGGCCCCAGCCTTAAACTCAGGTACCAGCCCAAATCCTTGCTCTCAGTCACCTGGGAGTGCGTCCCTCTCCACTGACCTTTGCTGAAGCCCCGCCCCTTTCTTGAGGAGTTTGGCCTCTTGAAACCCCGCCCCCACACCAGGCCCGAGTTCCCGCCCCATTCCTTTCCCGTTGGCCCCGCCCCACCCAGCCGGCTCCACCTCCACTCCCCACCACCATCCCTCGTGGCCAAGCCAGGCTCACCTTGGTCTCCGCCAGCTGTCGCTTGAGCAGCTGCAGAGCCTCTGTGTGCTCCCGCTCGCTGTCCTGAAGGGCCTGAAGCTGCTCCTTTAGCTCCCTCTGGAACAACACAAGCCCGGGATGGGGTCGCGGGCCAGACCAGGCACTCCGTGGTGATGCAGAGCCCAAGCTGGACCGCTGCAGGCTTTGGGAGTTATCCCGGCCTTGTCCCC